ACGGTGTTTTTATACCATGGAACACGACATTAGAATTTAGGGAGCTACAAGTCGAAGCATGGTTGTGACAAACGTTTTACAAAATATTAGCAGGGTGCTATTACCTAAATGCACATTGGGAAGAAGCACAAAACGGAGTCAAATGACATTTCAGGCGTTTCAATCCCAGGTCACGTCTTGAGAAAATTGCTGAAATAATGGAGGGGGCATTTTTCAAGCAGAGCTGCAGCTTCAACAGCTATGTTTACTTTAACGCTTCACTAGTGACTTCTGATTGGTTGTCATGACCTCATCTCACTGTTGCACCTAGGATGTTGCAACAGTGACATATACATACCCTTCTTGTGAAAAAGATGAGAATAAGCACAACATATATCTTTCAAAAAAGATGAATGGACAGTGGTTTGTCCATTTTACCATGGGTAGATGTAGTTTATAGATTAAAAACACTTTGGCTTTCATTTCCCTTGAGGATGAGCACCTATCTTCTTTCAATGCAAGCAGATAGAATGCTGAACTTGAGCAGTATGATTGATAAATCTGTGTAAAATGATCTCTTACAGAACTTTGCCTGAAGACCAAAACACATAGTGCCATAGGTCAAAGGATTCTACTCTGGCCCCTGACCTCTTTGGTCACATGTGGCGTGCAGTATTGGCAGGTTAATATGCAGAGCTGAGTACTTGCAGCTGATTTTTTTATTTAGCCAAGCACAAGAGAATGGGAAAGATGTAGAATTTGCTGGTATTGTTCATTTTCCTTATAGTTGGTAGTTATTGGCAAGTTAACTTGGATAAATCATCAGTTTTCGTTAGGTTTTTGGGGGGAACTAAACTACATTCTGGTTTGGGGCACGCATTTTAAAATTGGTTCTCTATGTGGAATCTTTTATACAGATTTAATTTCTTTAGTAAGGTTTCTTCTTTGGTTCTTTGTGTTTGGCATCACCTGTCTGTTTTAGACCTCTCTGACCTAAGCCATCATTTGTTGATTGAATGATAAATGAACTATTATTTATTAGTAAGTGCATCTATAGACTTCAAAGTAAAGGGCCCGGAGGACTATGTGTTCTATTTAAATCACAGCAACTGCTTATGCTGAATGAAATGCTATGTCTAGCAACAAAATTTTGAAGGTTTCTGATTAAGATCCCATAGTTTATGCTTTAGGAATACAGGTCTGAAAATGAACCTAATGCAGCTACAAAGGGATAGAAAATGGAATGAGAATTTAAAGAGATGAGCTTATTTTTACCAATATATGTCATCATGATCACTTCTTCATCTTCTAGACTATGTGATCAAACATGAGTTAATTAACAACTCTATGTATGCTTTGTCCCTTGAAATGTTGGATATTGGAATTGATTTGGGTAAATCATTATGAAAGATTCCAGAAATGTTTTTTTTAGTTGTAGAATGTTAGATAATCAGTTTGATCATTTTGTCTTGTCAAATAAAAGTTTCCATACACATTTAACATGGACTAAATTTTCAACTTTTGAGAAATTTAGAATACTGAAAGAATAATTATATAAAAGGAAAACTTTAATATAAAGTGTTTAAGTTTTGAGCATTAGCTATGGAGTGTTCCTTATTAGAATAGCATTGTACAGTTCTGTTATGATATTAATTTTGATGGCTGATTTTGTCACGTAGTTTTATAAAATTTTATGGTTGTGTTCATTAAAGGCCACACTAGCCATCTCTTTTTTTACTCTTTGCCTGCATTGATTGCAGGCAAAGAATTAAATTTTAAAATTTTATTTTAAGATATAAATTGTTGTTAACCTATTTGAAATGGTTAGATTTAACTACTGGTATGTCATCTGCTTTGTTTTACTTTGACTATTTACTTTGACTCCTTGACTTCCATGTACTAATGTTGACATGGCAAAAATCTTTGTAGCTTTAAGGATATTTTTGGCAATGTTTTGTATGTGATAGAGAGAAGGAAAAAGGTGAAATATCACCACATATTTGTGGTTACAGTATGTAAATGGGATAGTGAATATAATTTTGTTGCTCCAGCTTTCTTCTACCCATTATAAAATAGTTAGGAATGAATGAATGGTCTCTGTGAACATTGCATTAATTAATTTATCAGGAAAATTTTAATTGAAAAATGTTAAGTTTTTTACAGAATGGTAATTGAATTTGCAACAAAGACATTTATGAAAATTAGCTCTCATTTCTGTAGAAAATGTTCCTGAATATTTTTTGATTGTTATGCCTTTAATTAAATTGGCAGTATGAAGTATCTAAATGATAAAATATTTTCTAAATAATTCAGGTGTTTAAAGAGAAACATTCATTGTTGAAACCTAAATGATAAAAATTCTTTAATTGATTTATATAGTGGTGATTTAAAAATAGAATCATTTTTCATTTTTTGATGCCTCAGTGAAAAATTGACATTGTGTCTTTATAAAATTGGACAAATGAGTCATGTAATTTTCAGTTACATAATCAATAACTTAGACAAATACTGCTTCTTTGATGATTTATGTGTGTCTGTTTTTTGTACTTATTTAGATGGGACACATCAAATTTAAGAGTCTATTTAAAATCAAGTAGTCACAATAATTTTTCAGCCCATGATTTTCAGAATTGAAGTAAAATTTTCTGCTATATAAACCAGATGCTATGAAAATATTTCTACTGAGTGATGTTAAGTTATAATAGTTCTGTTATTTGGTGACTATAAATTTTATGTAAATATTTTACCTATTTGGAATTCATTCATTGTGCAAAAACAATGCTCTTGTTCCATTAATTTATTAAGGTTCCACTTTATTAAGTTGGAAATTTTCATCTCTTCATTAAAATGTAGCATGTTATATTTTCACAAACACTGTGAATCCTAAGATTCTATTTTGGATTTACTAACTGTAACTCATATGTAAGTATAAGAGGGTGTGTGTGTGTGTGTGTGTGTGTAAAGTTCAATTCACTGAGAAGGCAGGGAAGAGACATGACAGGAGACCACTTACTCAGGGTACAGAATCTAGTAAGGGGGCAATTTTCTTTTTGGCCTATGTGACCTTTTTTGACTATGTTCCTTATACCAGAGACAGTGTACTGAATGCCTCTATTTCACCCTGCTTAGCAGAGTGCAACAGTGTTCTTTAACTTACTTTTGGTGGGAGGAGAAGGTATAGCTGAAATTTGAGAAGGGCGTGAAAAGTTGTAAGAGGCACAAGGAAGAGGGCTAGGAACTTCCTTCAAATGTGATTTTAATAACTAGTCAAGTGTGTCCAACTGTAGAAAATCACCAAGTGACAATCTGTCTACCTGACACCAGTCACAATGAATTACAAGACTTTTGAATAGCTCTACAGATTAGAATAAAACAGGACCAAATAAAATATCTTTTGTTGGTAAAACTTTGACTTTCCAGTTAAGAAACTTAAAAAGAACTTACTTTGTATATTGATGTAGAACGTTTGAATTTAAAATTTTTTTCAAGTACTTTATAACACTTTCACAAAAGAGGTACTTATTGAAAAGTTTTATTTGGACATGTATTGAAGAATGAGATATTTAAAAATCAGTCTAGTATATATTTTATAATGTTTCCATATGAAGATCATTTTATCTTATCACAGTCTTATCACTGAAATCCAAACTTCAGTGAGCTTGAAAATCTACATCATGATTGTAGACAGTAATATGATTAGGGGAAAAAGTGAAGCTTTTATGTAGTTTGTGAAACTGTTAAAAAAAAAACCAACTATGTGCAGTACTGTGGCATGTTTAGAAATAAGATATGAGTCTGTACTAATACTTTATTTGGTACTACTGCTATCAGTTTTTTAAAATCTTACGGTTGGTTCAGCAAAAAAAGAATTTAAATTTAGTAGAAAAATTCTACAATTACAGATTTGAAAAGAAGCTTCTTTGGATTCTTTAAGATGAGATTTTAAAAGCTTTTTTTTTTGTAGCTTTTTTTATGTTTTTGGTCATAATACATGTTTAAGTATGACCTTATAGGATTTTTCCAAGGCAGAATTGGTATTCCCACAATACAGAATTGAGTAGAAAAGACAAGATATATAATAGCTTCAAAAATTAGCGTTGCACATGCTTGTCTGTTGCACATGCTTGTCAGTGGTAATTGTTTATCATTCTCTGTTTTCTTGTGGTTAGATTATTCCATCACTTATAATACAGTGTAATACCAAGTTCTCTTAATTATATCTATACAAATGTTTCCCTTTCTAGAAATTAATCAGATGGGAAAACATGTTTTTAAAACTTTTTAAAAGGTATAATAGTTCATTAAGCTGTATTACAAACTTTGGCACTGATTTCTTGGTACTAGTTCTTACTAAAAAGGAATTTTTGAAAACTTGAAAAGTTAAGTTTCAGGATTAAAGAGTTGTTTTCATACATTAGCAAGATATCAGTTTATTTTGTCTTGTGACTTGTGTCTTATGACTTGTGGAAAAAATACAAGCTACCTAAGTGGTTTGAGAGTATGTATACCTGTGGAATGTTAGATTAGATTTATTCCCTTTGAATTGCTTATTCATTTTTACATGTTCAAATAAAAATGCTCATTAAAGCACAATTGCAAAGGAAAAATATCTCACAAAATGTGGTTTAAATTATTAATTTTTGTTTCAGAGAGTTTATTTTCTCAATATATATATGCTAAGCACTAATGGGGTTTGAAAGTCTGCTTGTTTCATAATTTTGTTTCAATCATTTTTGGGGTTCTGGAAGATATGAAGTAAATTTTTAATTTAAGCTTTATAATATTTATGTTACAATTATGACATTTTGTTCTTAAAATCTGTACTTAATACACACATAATACTGGCAAACAATTTTAAGTAATTTTCTGTTGGAAACACTAGAACTATAATCTTTTAAAAGGAATATATTAATGAATATGCAACTACATTAAGTCACTTACTATGAGATTTTAAGAACTTTTTATGATTTGGAATGGATTCTGTGATTAAATTATGCTGCCTTCTTTGCTTTTAAAAACAGGAAGGATATGGAGTGATAGTACTGAATCCCAATGAAAACTATATTGAAGTGGAAAAGCCGAAGATACACATACAGTCATCTTCTGACAGTTTAGATGAACCTGCAGAAAAGCGGGAAAGAAAAGATAAAGTCTCTAAAGAAACAAAGAAGCGACGTGATTTCTATGAAAAATATCGTAACCCCCAAAGAGAAAAAGAAATGATACAATTGTATATAAGAGTAAGTAATAAGTAAGATCATTACTTTCCTTTATTACTTCTTTTATATTTTATTTCTTACAAATTACTTTATCTTTTAAAAGAAAGTAATTCTTTCATTGTTAACCATTTATTTCCCATGGTTGTTAGTTGGGTCTTCTTATGCAAAATCACGAAGCACATCATTATTATTTCAGTGTGATATTTTATATAAGTCTCAAATGTAATTTATAATGCACTGTATGAAACATCGGTCTTCATCTTGGGTGGCAGTAGTTTAGTGCATTGTTTTCTTCTGAGCAACCATCCGTCCACAGTGTCTCAGCTTAACTTCTGATGGCAGATGGAGGGAGGAAAAGTAATTATATCTTAATAAGTATTCGAACTAGAATAGTTTAGGTATAGTGTAACGAAGGAACTCTGTCCTTTGCTCTTTTCTTACCCAGTGAACCTTTGCACTTTGTAATGCTGGTAGCATGGGACCGTCACAGCAGTGCTACGCAAGTTCTAATTCTGTAGGGGGGCACAAACAGTTTTATTTGCATGTCGACACATTCTGCTTGATATACATACTGTTCATTATATATATATGAAACATATTCATGTAATTTTCAAAGCCTTATTATAGATGCCAGAAATATGATTTAGTAGTAAAGCATGTCAAAAATGCTGCTGGGTAATAAATTGATGTGCTCTTCAAAAGTGAGCAATTCAGAGCATTTAAACATAGATTAACATTTTACAAATTATACCGTAAAACAGTAGTAAAGTTTCAGGTTATTCAACTTGAGCTATTGTACTTACTTCAAAAGCTCATTAATAAAATATTTCATATACGATTGAGGGGAAATATGTGGCTTGTTATTTTCTTTATTCTAGTTCATGGCATGATCACTATGCTTCTGTGAACTGTGCTGCAGACATTCAAATCAATTGCTTATGGGTTAGTTTGTTGAGTAAGTTTTGACAGTTAAGCAGTAGTAAAAACAGCATATAAATTCTCAAGACCCCCCACTAAAATATATCTAGACAAAGAATACCCAGAAATAGTTATACAATGTGTCGAACAAAAGTTAGGGAAATTACAATATTTAAATTGCTGAAAAGCATCTCACTGTTTTGTATATTATCTTAAAAACAAATTAGTGATTAGATTTGAAATCTATAAGAAGCATGCTTATTCTGATATAGTTATATAACTGCTTTTCTTTCCTATAAAGTATCAGGATTGTGATGTCACTTTCTCTTTCAGTTATCCTAAGCTTCCAATTATATATGATCCAGTCTATCCACCCTCTTATGACAGACTTTAAAAAAAAAATTGCCTCTGATATCCAGATTTCAAAAATAAATTGTGTAAGGTTTTTGAAATGTACAAATCATTAGGAGCATTCACTTGCTTATGTAAAGAGGAAACAAAAAATTATTTTGTATTGATTTTCAAAATTCTTCTTTAAACAGTTTTATTTTCCTGTGATATATACAGATTAAACATTTATTTCTGACATGTCTTTTAGGTTTTCTTTTCTGTTTTCCCTTTATCTTGCCATTTTACTATGAATTTTTTCTTTTGTTTTTCTTGTATGTATGCATTTTCTTTATTCTGTTTTCCACATCTGTCTTGTACCCTGCATCTATTTTTATCTTACAACAAGGGGAAAAAATCTTTCTATATTATTTCATTGTTAAGACTTTCTCTATTTCCCTTTGTCTTGTTTATTTTTTTATACTCCTGCCATTTTTATTTACTTACTATGTCTTCTTGCCTTCTTTTTTCTTGTCCCATTTTACTGGCTTCTCACTGAAAGTGCTTAAAAAATGTAGTCTTATACAATTTTATACCTGTAGTCTTAGTTACAAAATGTTATTTTTCTTAATAAATACTCTCCTAAAATCTTCTGGATTTGTGCAGAATAGCAGACTTAACACACTTAATACATATTTCTAGATAGTAGGCATGATTCTATAATAGGAAAGAGAACAATGGTTATTTTTGTGTAAGGTATGTCTTAGGTAATTTTGATCCATAAGAGAAGTGACTTCTTGTAAAATGCCCTCTGTATAGCTCCATATAACAGGTGTCTGTAATCATCCTGATATGTGGAGATAAATTAATTTTTATTTATATGCTTCTTAACCATTTGCATTTCGGAAGTGACCATCTATTAAAAACCCCGTGAAGAAGTAGGTGTCACATAATTTTGTCCTTATTTTAAAATTAAGAAACTGATATGTAGATGTAGTACCACATAATTATTAAATGATAGAACTGATGGTGGAAATCAAGACTTACAGTTGCTATTCATTTTTTCATTTTCATTTCATATGTTTCATCATTTCCTCTTTATTTCATTGTTCTGAAATATGAAAGTGTATCTAAAATATGAAATTAAATTAGTTATAAAAGCATGATATAATATAGTAAACTAAATCTGTGAATATATAAATTTTTGAGTTTTCATTTAATAGACATTACATGTCTATAAACTATTGTGTGATATATTTATAATATACAAATAATAGTGAATTTTAAGTGTATAGTTATATTAATATATAAATGCATACTCTCTTTTGATGCTATCACTAGTAATGATCCAGTTTTGTAAATGAGGAGACTGTGGGTCAAAAATTAATCATTTTCCCAGGTCACATAACTTTTAATGTAAGTTCCATGAAGGCAGGGACTAAGTCTCTTGCTCACTGTTTCATTTCCTGAGCCTAGAACACAACTTTCATAATAAATATTTATAGAACAGAACATTAACAGTGATTTTTTTAGTTGGATAAATAAGATGGTAGGGCCAGGAATAAAATCCTAAACTACTTTTTAATGTATTTTTATATCACTAAAGTGTGGTACATGATTTTCTGTGAGGAAATAGTCAAACAAGTCAAAATATTGTAGGCTCCCAATCCAGTGGCTGAGATTACAATTTAAAAAACAATTAATGATAAAAAGAAAGTATATTGAGATTTATTTCATACTTGATTGATCTATATGCTTTCATCTGAAATGTATAAAATGGGATATCCTGGGTTGTTTTTTTTTTTTTTTGGCTATATTATCTTGGTATAATACAGGTATAGCTATTATCTTGGTGCTAAAATTATGCATAAAAATGAAAATATTTCATACTGACCTGTTATTATTGTTTTAGCCCTTGCTCATAAGAGTACAGCCAAGCTACTATACTTGCTTTACTGTGTATACCAGTATGGCTTTACTGGGTATACCAGTATGGGCTCTACGACTTCTTGTTTCTTCCTTTAATACAAGTTCTATTCATGTTGTAGTGCCCGGATGATATCCCAACTCTCTCACCAAAATGAATGACCTCTCCTTACTATGAATCATGGAAGTTATTATGATCACTGTATCATTTGCTATCTTGAGCTATCTCTTGTGTTTTGTCTCATAATATTAATTTCACAAATTTATCTTTTATGCCTCTCCACTATGTGACCCACAATTCTCTAGGTCCCTGAGTATGCTTTAAAGATGTTGCAATTGCACGTCAATCCTTATGGGTAAGCAGATAAGAGCAAGTTTTTACAGCAGTATAAGGCGTACTGTCAGGGAGTCCGGAATAGATATTAAACTCACTCACTAGAATCCTGTCTGTAGAAAGCAGACCATAACAAAGCTAGGCCAGCCACAGATACCTAAATAACATGACCTGCAGCATCGGAACAAGGCTCTTCCTGATATCAGTCTTGAATGTAAGAGGGTGGACACTCAAACTAAGGAAAAAGATCAGTTAAAAAAAACTTTACAATATATAGGTGGTATATAGGCAAAACTGATTTGATGCTGATGGGTCTAATCTTGATTTGGAACTGCTTCACTATCTCTTCCAGAAGATGAGATTTGGTTGTGGGCTAAGGTGATGAGAAGTATAAAAGTGGGATTAGAGTCTAGCACATTAAAATAAATATATATATAATAGTATATCTATTACTAGGAGTGGAGGTGGAAAAGTAGTTACATAGCCACATAAGGAAAAACCCAAATGTGGTGTAGACTTTTACAGAACAGGAATCTTGGCAGAGCCTGGCATTACACATTGAAATTACTCAAATATTTATGGATTGATTGCTTGTTGACATCCATCAAAAATTTTATTCCTTTAAATGCAAGATATTTGGTGTCTAGTTTTCTGACTGATTTTTTTCATCATTCATGTGAATTTTTGCAATTGAAAGAGCCAACTTTGATAAACTGAAGCTTTCTTTTAAAAATATGTTTTTAATGTTCTGACTTGAATTATGTCCACAGTATTGGTAAAGGCTGTCTTCTTCTCTTCTTCTTTTCTGCTAATGCCACTGGAATCACTTCTACCTAGTGTTTTAGCAACCAAATTCAATTTATTTATAGTGCAATCAATGATTGTTTAATCTCTGGAACAATTTTATTTTCTAGTGTATTTGAATTTTCTTTTTTCTCTGGCATCTAGTAAAATAGCCAGAAATCTCTTTTCAAATATGTGCAAATATCTGATGTACACAGGAAGAAATATAGTAGAGGTCTAAAACTTAAAGGCTAGCAAAGTATAATTTTTACTTACTAAAAGAGTATAAATAGACATGACTGACTATTGGATTATGTAGCACATTTCTGATACATTAGGAGCAGAGCTTGAGAGATCAAAGTAGTTACTGTTTCATGTAGTAACTATCCTTACTATGAAATAATGTACTTTCTGGCATATATTATGGTTTATTAAGGGGATTGATTTGGTCTAGGCAATAAACATCATGTCAGACATGCCTGGCAGGAAAACCTGCTTAATATGTTTTGTAATAAGATGGAATTTTTTGTTCTCGAAAACATCTGCCAACTAAATTCAAGAGTGAAGACAGAAAATGTCATCAATTTACTGGTAATCCTATAAATTTAGTTTCTTTTTGAGCAACACATATCAAGACACACAAAATTCCCAGTGTTAATCACCACTGGTTATAGTACTTTGTAAAACGATGAAACAAAAACATTTTATTTTTATATAATGTGTTAATTAATTC